CGGGCACGGGGGGAAGGGGGCAGAGGCTGCTGCCTTGGCACTGCGGGGCAGGGAGGCGGCTGTGGGGCGGGCGCGGCGCTAGGGGGCTCCGGGCGCTGGGGTAGGGGTGGCTCTGGGCACCTTGGATAGGGAGGGGGCTCTGCTCTGGGCACTGGGTGGGGGTAGGTGGGTGCAGCCCGACTTCTCTCTGATCTGCGGTTTGCTGTGGGCACTGGGGCAGGTGGGTTGCCTCTGGGCTCGGGGCAGGCGGCTTTTGCTCTGGGTAGGGTGCAGGTGGGTTTGCTGCGGGCGCTGGGAGCTGGGCAGGGTTTGCTGTGCACTGGGGTCCAGCAGAAGAAGAGGGAAGTCTGGCTGCCCTGTGCATCAAGGTGCTGCGGGGCAGGTTGGGGTGGGGGTGAGGCAGATCTGTCTCCCTGCGTCCTCTCCCTATCGTGCCCCGGGCAACACCCCCCCCCCTTCCTTTGCCGGCCGCACAGCAATCCTCTCCCCACCTTCTCCTTTCCAGCAACCTAGCAACACGTCCCCGCCCGTAGCCAGCCCTGCCTTTGTAGGCAGCCTTCCCCATTCATCCCGTGAGGGGCTCTAAATTATTAATTATTATTATCAGCAGCGTCTCAGTGTTGCCTCTTGCATCGCAGCTTTCTGCTGAGCAACAGAGACTCTAGGATGGCGGGGGGGAGGTTGGTACCTGTGCCTGTCCTAAAGGTAACACCTTCCCTTACTCCCAGGGGGCAGCAGATTGTTCCCCCATCGTCCCCTCTGCCTCCCTGGCAGCGGGAAGTGGTCTCCTGCAGTGTTGCTGTCCCTCCGGCCTCTGCAAGACCCAGGGGAGGCAGCAGTTTGGTACCCAGTGCAATTCACACAGGTGCAGGGATTAACTCATCTGCTCCCCAGCCTTTCTTGCCTGGTTTGGGTTTGCATCTGGCAAGGTGAGGTCACCATTGCCCCCTCTCTCTTCCGTGTCCAACCTGGGAAACCTGCACCACCAGGCTCTGGCTGCTGCCCCAGCAGGAGGAATTTAGCGGGCATGCTAATTAGTCTGTTCCAATAACAGCAGCCCTTGCTTCCCATATGCACAGATCAAACCTTGATTGGACTTTACATTTGTCATGGTGATCCTTTGAGAAGAAAAAAACTACACATATGCACTATGAAGCTGATGAACAGTGTCACTCACACACACCAGTGATGAGCAGTCTCTCTATCGTTCTCTTACACATACACACTCTCTTTCTCTCTCTCTTACATCCCCCCTCCCTCCCAGCTGATGAGCAGTGACTTTTTTTTTTTTTTAAATCTGTGTCTCTTGAGGCATACTTTTCAGCCAGGTTGGCTAAAAAATATTCCGTACGTCAAGATTGAAACCTCTCTGTCCATTTCTAATGCACATATTACTGTCCTATCTAGGCTCTGAAATTCCGGAGCCTATTAGCTGTGACCCCTGTTATATCTGATCCAGATGACTGTTTCTTTGGGTCTTAATTTTTATGTTTGTACAGCAGCCAGTGCAACTGTGGTGCTCAATAAATAATAATGTCAGATACAGTGGAAGGCATCCCTCATTGCTGAGGGATGAAATGTCACTCAGGACTCAAGGACAAGTAGCATGCCTGAAAAGGTGCAATTTATTTTAAATATTGTTCCCTGAAAAAGAATACATCTGCCTCCCCTCCAAAAGCACCCGTCTCCAGGAGGTACAAAAATGTATTTGTCTCCCCATACATTCATACATAATATTTATCTAATACTTAGATAATGGTTAGTAGTCTGAGAGTGATGTTGCAGCTGTGACGGTCTAGGAACTATGTTAGAGGCAAGGATTTCTCAGGGTGATATTGGTCCAGTAAAAGATATCAGCCTAAGAAATCTTTGCCTCTTATATAACACTTAGCATTTAAGGTGTACGTGAAAACATCAGTTACTCGGTCCATAATACCAACTACACAAGGAAGTTTGTAGATAGGGAAAATGAGGCAGAGAAGCTGTCTCTTGACTCTTCAGAAATGACTAGAGATTTCTGGTGTTTATCACATTTTTAGATGCCCAACAGAAAACATTTTAGAAGGATTTGATTTGCAAGAAGTGTAGAGCAGCTGCCTTCTGAAAATTAGGCCCCTTCCAGGGGTCTCAACTGGCCACCCAAACGTGGCCTCCCTGTCTGTCCAAAAACAGGCCAGTATCAGAACTGTGATTAGAATGTAAAAGTTCTTGGCTCATTGTCCCATGCCAAGTTTGTGAGACTAGGACTGACTGCTTGTATTTCTGGTCCACAAGTTACTTCATAGTTAATCAAATCTACAAGAAAGAGACATTATTTTAGAAATGGCAGCATCACTCCTAGAGGAAGATGCGGGGTAGGAGGGAGATACTTCACTTGTGCCTCAGCAGTTTCTGAGGAAAGTCAGTCTTCTGCTTCGGAAATGCTGGTATGTAGAAAGAAACCTTGTTTAATGCAGCAGTAAATCAAAGCGGAGTTCTCTGTGGCTGTACATTTCAGAAAGTACTAATCTGTCCTCCTAAGAGGATTGAACATTTTTATTTGATTCCTTTTTTATGAGAGGTTTGTGCTTTTTGTTTTTAATTTAAATCTGTTGGGTTATGCTTATTTTCCATATGAGTTGAGGGAGGCCACATCTCCTATCCTAAGGAAAATTGTATTCAGTAGACATGACAAGAACCAGCCCACAGAGAAAACCAAAGAACATGTATCATTTCAACGCCTCATTCCACCTCCCAGTAACCACCTTGTTAAAAATCTGCAACATGAAGAGGGATTTATTTCAAGAACAGGGTAATTCTTCTTTCTGTCATTGTGGTAACAGAAGAGGAAATTTCAATTTATAAATATGCTCCAATTGGCTACAACCACACTAGTTTAGCTCGCTGGTGGTAGTAGTGACAGTAGCGTTATTGGAGACAAAAACTGGTTTGAGAACTAGAGTGTTTATGCCAGTGGCTCAGCCTTTTTCTCATAATAAGCCCCTGGTATTCTCTGCCACTTAGCCAAAATATAGGAATACAGTATAACCTCATAAATCTGGATATCAAAAATCTGGAATTCTCAAAAATCCAGCAATTTTTAGAAAATTCACTACTGCTGGATGTGGAGGCAGAAGCTTGCATGACACAGCTGCCATCCACCACCTTGTGACGCCACTCCGTGTGTGGCTGTTGCTTTGGGACTGGCTGCCACTCCCCTGCCCCCATCCCTGTAGACCCTGCCATCCACCACCCCACCCCATGTGCAGCCACTGCTCTGGGTTTGGCTGCTGCTATCTCCTCCCTCCACTCCATGATCGGCTGCTGGTCTGGTTTAAAAAATCTGGAATTTTCAGATTTTTGGCAGGTGCTCAGTCCCAAGCATCCTGGATTTATGAGGTTATACTATATAAACATATAGGACTAGAACAGTGATTCTCAACCTTTTCTGTACCAAGACCTTTTTATAAACATTAATGGCCAGTCCCAACCCTGTAAATAGTTTAAGTAGAAAACAGCCCCCTGGAAGTGCTGGTGCCCCTCACTCCCAACCCACTGCCCCCCATCCCCAGCCCCCCAGTGTGTGGGGCAGCGTGTAGTTGGGTGTGCCCCAAGCAGCCCCTTGCAGGCTG